ATAATATGTGTGTCTCTTTATATATATAGAGTATATATATATATATATATATATATATATATATATGAATAAAATAGGCTATGTTGCCTGGAGGCAACATGGTATAGAGGGTTAAGTAATTGATTGTTTTTTATGTTAGATAATATGAATCTTTATGTCTTCTGTCATGGCAGATTTTTATGTAATCACCATTTTATCCATCAAAAGCACTATTGCTACACACTACAGCTATACCCTGAGACAGTGAATACAACTAACTTATGATACAAAATAGAATACAAAAGACCTGAAACCGTAAATTGTACAATATATGAAGTGTTAGATGACACATGGGAAAGATTTTTATTTTTTTTACCCTGGGTAATTGCTGCCACTGATTACATCATAATCATCGTATCAAGCATTATGATAGCGAGCTTTGTACAGTGTAATTCTAAACTAAAAAGACTGACTGTTATGCTTCTATTTTTAATATCAGTTATTTTATGTATTTGGTTTTTTTCCAAATATGTGAGCCTAAATTATAAATTATAAATAAATATATAATGAGTAAAAAGTAGACAATATAGACAATGTTAATATATATTATAATATATTTATTAATAATAAAAGGTAATATATTAATAAATTGGAGCTGTCAATAAAGAGGGGAATACACCAAACATTCCGCTTGGTCGTCGGTTAAAAAGAAAACTGTATTTCAATTAGGAAAATGTAAAAGATGCATTTTGACTGGTGGCTTAAATAATCTTAGAAAGAATGGTAAATTAGAAAATCTCTGTTACCTGTTATTATTACAACAGTGTAAGATGTGGTTGAACTGGTAATTACTTTGGTTGAACATGTTATCTTGAAATGAGCCCTGTAACGCAGACATCTCCTTAATTGAGATCTTTTCAGACCCTGAAAAAGTGACTCTGACATGTCCTGAGTTGAGCAGAACAATCTTGCATTATGTCTTTATAACATGCTAATTAGGGATTTGGAATTAAAATTACAACAGTTGGTCTTTCATTTGCATAGAGGTCATGTTTAGCTAATGTGTCTCTTGTTGAAACAGACAGCCAGCATGACTATGGTTAAATCTGACCCAGTGACATTTCCTACTTCAAATTATGCACAATGTGTGAATTTAATTAATTAGAGAATTCATTAAGAAATATGGCTCATGGAAACGATCGTAATATTTAGTTATGTGAGGTCATTTTCTTTCATTGTTGGAGCTAATTTGTTTCATAACATTTCCTGCTGTACTATCTGCCCATGTTAACTATGATGTATGCAATTTATTAGGGCTTTAATTAATTATGATTACATTTTATACTAAATGTTCATCTTGTTTGGACAGATGGCTCCCATCGAGAAAACCTTTCAAACAATTAATTTGAGATCAATTGCTTCCTTTTTCACTCCCTTTAACTAGTATGGCGCTGTGTGGGAAATCTGTATGCTATTTCCTGCAGCTGTGATTGGCTGTAAATAGCTGTAATGCGCGATCATCTCCCACCTCCCTCTGCTACTGCAGCAGTCAAATAAATGAATTTGGCTCCTGTAACGGTTGTTGTTAGTTGCCTATCCATGCTCACACTGCAGCACCCGCCTTAATTAGTCCTGGATTGTAATGTTTGTGGTTGAGATGGTGCAGCTATTATGACTATAGCTATAGCCTTTAAGCAGGACCTCGCCTCAAATATGTAAATCACTCTTTTGCAGGCAGAGACAAATCCAGTCCATCAGTTTCTGCCAGTCAGCATGAGTGACAGTGAGTATCATAACAAAAACATGTGACAAA